AGTGGCGTCGCGTTTTCACTGTTCATTCCGTGTTTCGGGAGAATTTGCGTGCATACGGTGACGCAAAAGTGTGTGGAATATGATGGGTATGCATGCCAAGCGGCTAGGTGGTGCTGCGATATATTATAACGTACCGTATTTTCCGGGCTATTAGGTGCTCTGGATTATAAAGCGCACTGTCATTAAATGGTCTATTTTCAAACTTTTTTCACAAATAAACCGCACTGGACTTTAAATGAAACACAACAGTTAGACGGGTCAGTGGGACTTTGTTTGGCGCGTTCACGGTGACTCTGGGCTTTGTTCAATTGTGGCGCGTAGGGAGGGTGCTGTCTGGGACCGCTGGATTGTCGGCGTGTTCGTAGTGACTTAGTTGTTCAGTTGTGTCTAGAAGTGGCACATTGCACTTGCTTTTTCGGTTTGTTGGTTCCGTTCCTCGTCGGCGTGGAGTAACGAGTGTGGCTGCGGGTGTGTTTTGCCGAGCGGTCGCTGTCTGCTCCGTTTGTGTTTGCGTGCGCTGTGGGTAGTGCGGTTTTGTAGTTTACTGTCCTGCTGGGACACCCGAGTGGATTTGTGTATAGGGTGCTCTGGATTGTGGGGTGCACAATCGTTTTTTAATGGGGTTGGAGGCTTAAGAGCGCATCTAATAGCCCGGAAAATACGGTATGCAACATGAGCAGATCCGACCAGAGTTTTGCGTCTTGAGCAGTATAGACGGAAATGCTACGGCGGAGCGTATTCAACTTTTCCACTCTGGAGGGTGGTTTCAGATTTTTGCATTTTTAAGCCCCCAAAACGCCGTCACCGTCTAAACGAAAGGCACTTCCGATAAAATATTTTGTCATTTTTACCGCAAGCGTTCTCGGGTAAAGGTTTGGACGCACTTTTTAATGTCCTAATTTTCTTTGTTTTCATGACTATTCAAATTGTAGATTCTTAAATTCTGACATCAACATTATGAACCAACATATGTGGAATATTGTAAACAAAAGAAGTTCTAACATGTTGATTGAGAATGTGTGTCCAAATGTTTGACTGTTAGTGCAGATAAGTTAATGCCACATTGAGGAATATTCCATGGAGACTAAAGCTTTAAAACAGTGGTCAAATATGTCAACATGTTTAACAAAATTACATTATTATATTGAGGGATTGTTGGTTTAACTTTTTAACTCTTGACTTCGAACTTCAAATGAACTTTCTGAAATGAACTGCATGTATCGTGAGTGTACAGTGAGTGTGCTGGTGTTCTGTACTTTTGTGTGAATGTTGCTCTACTTTTCTGTCCTGTAGATGATTTCACATCAACCTGCCGAGGCACTGAAATGGAAATTAGCCTCGCTGCTATAATCTTTACATATTTACATTTTAAATATTCATTAACATGTGCTGTCCCTTTACAAATAAATAAGAAGAAAATAAAAAGAAGACAAGCAGAAATTAGATACAACAGCTACACAGAAGTATATATTTAATAACAAAGCAAGTGTTAGTGTTAAGTTCAGTTACTAATGCTTGAGTACTACTTTTCCCAAATACGTTTATACTCTTACTTGACTAATTTCATGAACCACTATGGAGTAATATTATTTTGAAGTAACGTTTCTTGAGTAAAATTTTTATCTATTCTACCCTTTTTATTCCGAAACCTACGGATAATGGGCTATAGTTCTAGATAAGTCTATAAGTCTTGGTACAGATGTCAGATTTTGGGAGAGTGTGCACGGACATGTCTCTCTCCTCTTTCTCTCTCTCTATCCTCTCTCCCCTCTGTCTTCTCCCTTTCTCCTCTCCTCTCTCTTCTCTTTTTCCTCTCCTCTCTTTCCTTTCTCTGTCCTCTCTCATCTCTCCTCCTCTCTCTCTTGCCTCTGTTTCTCCTCTCGTTCTCCCCTCTTTCTCTCTCCCTCTCTTCTCTCCTCTTGTCTCTTTCTCTTACTCTCGCTTCTCTCTCTCCCCTCTCCTCTCCTCTCCTCTCATCTCTCTCTCTCTCTTCTCTGTCATCTCCCCCTCTTCTCTGTCTCCTCTCCCTCACTCTCTCATCTCTCTTCTCTCTCTCCTCTACTCTCGTTTTTCTCTCTCTTCTCTCTCATCTCTGCCTCTTCTCTCTCTCCTCTCTGTCCTCCCTTGTCTCTCCTCAAACTCTCTCCTCTCCCTCCTCTCTCTTCTCTCTTCCCTCTCCTCCCCTCTCTCCCTCCTTTCTCCTCTCTCTCCTCTTTCTCTTAACTCTCTCCTGTCTCTCTCTCCTCTCTCTCTCTCTCCCTCTCCAACCCTCTCTTGTCTCTCTTCTCTCTTTCCTCTCGTTTCTCTCTTGTCTCTCCCTCTTCTCTCTCTCCTCTCTCTGCTTTCTCTGTCCTCTCTTGTCTCTCCTCCATCTCTCCTCGCCCTTTCTCTCCTCTTTCTCTTAGCTCCCTTCTCTCTCCTCTCCTCTCGTGTCTCTTTCTCCTCTCTCTCCTCACTTTCTCTCTCCCTTTCTCTCTCTCTCTCTCTCTCTCTGTCTCTCTTTCTTCTCTCTCTCTCTCTCCTCCTCTCTCTTCCCCGCTCTCTCTTGTCTTCCTCCTCTCGTCTCTTTTTTTCTCTCTCTTCTCTCTTCTCTCTCCCTCTTCTCTCTCTCCTCTCTCTTCTCTATCTTCTTTCTCTGTCCTTTCTCTTCTCTCTGCTTTTCTTGTCCTCTCTCGTCTCTCCTCCTTACCTCTCCTCTCCCTCTTCTCTCTTTTGTCTTCCCTCTCCTCCCCTCTCTCTCTCCTCTTTCTCTTAACTCTCCTGCTCTCTTCTCTCTCTCTCTTCCTGCAGTAAATGAGGGAATATTAGCGCCGGGCCCCGCAGGTGGCTCCTGATATGACACATTAGAACACACCCCAGGGGCCAGACGCCGTAATTGGGATCTTCAAATTCAGATCGCTGCTGTCAGGCCAGAGGGAGGAGAGGAGGAGAGGAGCGAGAGGAGGAGAGGTGACAGAGGCATCCCAAAGACACAACCTGTCGACGCGGGGTGAATGAGAGAGAGACAAGGAAGAGAGGGAGGGAGAGACAGATGAGAGAGAGCGATATAGAGAGGGAGAAAGAGACAGAGAAGGGGGAGTAAGAGAGGAAGAGAGGCGACATCACCGTCTCAAAGACAACCTGTCGACACGAGGTGAAGGAGAGAGACAAGGAAGAGAGAGAAAGGGAGGGAAGGAAGAGAAGAGACCGATGACGGAGCAGAGAGACAGATGAGAGAGTGATATAGAAGGAAGAGAGTAGAGGAGTGAGAGACAGATGAGAGAGGGACAAATAGAAGTAAGAGAGGGGAGGGAGAGAGAAGAGACAGATGAGAGACAGTGATAGAGAGAGAGAAAGAGGGATGTAAGTGAGAGAGAAAAGGAGCAAAGATATTTTAATGCCAAGGCAAGTCTGGGCAGAGTGTTGTTCAGTTCTTGTTGACTGTATCATGATGTGAACATGTTTTGGACTTTGAAGTGCATGAACTTGATTTGTTAAATTTTGAATGAGCTTACATTTTCAGTAGTAATTTGCAAATAAAGCCCCTGCTGTTTGGCAACTAGAAATTTTAAAAGTATTGTTGATAGCCAGTAAAAGCAGAATTTGCTAATTGGTTTTAGCAGCTTTAGTAATAATTTTAATTAACCACAACTTTCAATTAGAAGACAAAGTAGAAGACTTTGTTTTGTTAGACTTGTTGCCAGCTTCCATATTAATTTATCCTAGATATTAATTACAAACAATATTTAATTTTTGATTCTGAAGACCCTTGCAAAAATCCTAGTGCAGTTTTGAAAAAGAGTTTGTGAAAATGCATCTCATGTTGTGAAATGTCACACTGCCCTCTGCTGGTTGCTTATGCACACTACACATAAACAAGTGACAGCAGTGTGTCTGGCTTTCAGTTTACTGGTGTGATCACAACGTGCTGTAAAATATGATGTAGAGCAGGGATCATCAAACTAAGGCCCGCGGGCCAACTCCAGCCATCCACTTTGACTGGCCCCCCCAGCCCCTAACCCTAACCCCCCCCCCATTACTTTTTGGCAAATAATAACATCTTGTATTTTGTAGAATTAGAATTAATATTTATTTGAAGTATTTATATTTGTATTTATATTTAAATAATTGAATATGATGCATTTACATTTGCTGCTGAATTTGTCGCAGAATTTTCATCACCTGACAAGCTCGAGATCAAACGGTGACAGTCAATGCAGGCACAGAGTTCTGTAGTGCAGTTAAGGACAGAAAAATGGCTCATGTTAAAGTATGAAAAGTTGACAGATTATTTTTTTGTTCAGTGTCAGAAGCGTGCAGTTTGTCTGATATGTAAAGAAAGTGTGGCGGTTTTCAAAGAATATAATCTGCGTCATCAGGGTCATACATTTCTGTTAAACGGACGACTCAACCCCGTCACAGTCAGAAACGATAATGTGGTCCCCAGAGAAGAAAAGAGTTTGGTGATCCCTGATGTAGAGCAAAGATTTCACTTATAACTTCAGTTTAGCCAGAACTTAAAGGTACAGTATGTAACTTTCTGGAGGTGGCATGTCACTTGCATGATTCCATGGAAATTGAAAGTTAAAACCAGACTTCAAAACGTTCTCCATTGAGATAAATGAGTTTTATGCCATACTGTGGAATATTATAGCCAAAGGAACAACATTTCCATGGAAACAAACAGGAAGAAGCCTTCCTCCAGACCAAAGCCACTCAGGTTTATGGAGATACAAGCCAAAGTAAAGATTGATGACTTTCAGTTCCACACACACACAAAAACATGCTTTCTTCTGATCTTTCTGATCTTGAGTGGTAACCTGGGAGAGCAGAATGACTATAGAGTTTGCCTTTATGGTTTATTGGTCCAAATTCATTGTTGAAATGAATCTCTGAACTTGTGCAATATCAAAATTTGAGAAGAGTGCATCTAAAATCCTATCGGTTAGAGTAGATAACTTAAATAAATTATAATTATTTTTCCACAAGTAAACCTTTCTTTGTTCTTGTCTCCTCCGCAGGCCCGTGAGCCACCTGTCCCCCGGCACCGCTCTGACAGTCAACACCAACCCCAACGTCAGCATCAAAACTGAGCCTGTATCCCCCAACCGAGACCGCAGCACCCCCAGCTCCATCAGCCAGGGGGCGCTCAACCACATCCAGGTACCAGGGGCCTCCTCCGCTCATCAAGGCCTGGTGTCCATCGCCTACCCCGGGGCTCTGAGGCTGGACGCGGGGGGCCAGGGCCGCTCCCCCGTGGACAGCCTGAGCAGTAACGGCAGCTCGTACGAGGGGAGCGAGCGCGATGGAGGGCCGCTGGAGTTTGGACACCAGGCTGGAGGTCTGGTTCAGCAGCAGCAGATGGTCCTCCTCAGGCCCTCCTCCACAGAGCCCCAGGACCAGGACGGGACCAGCGTCAAGAGGATGAGGCTGGATGCGTGGGTCACATAAACGGGCTGTCCCCGAAACATGGAGGAGGAGATGTGAACTTGCCCAGTTAGACTAAGCTCCCTCCCCCAAAGTTGAAACAGACACACACTATCTGCCATACACACATATACATATACACACACACTCACACACACTCACACACACAGAGTCCGAGGATGTGACCACATGAGCTGGCTATGTTGTAGTTTTGACACAGGACATAGTAGTGTATCAGTGAATGCAGTTTTACACAGCACTACAGAAGGACTGAATAGTAATAATAGGCTCATAAAAGTCTGATTGAATGAAATGAAATGGTAGGTGAAATGATCACCCAAATAATGAACTACTCAAAATAAAAACAAGGCCTATGTGAATGTAAAACTACTCAAGTATTGAGTAATTTTTGTCACAAGTTGTTGTTTCACCCTTCTGTGTGATCACAGAGGAGTGTGGCTGTTTTACACTGGATGCCCTTCCAGTTGCCAACCAACCACTACAAGCTAAGTCATACTTCATAAGGGGTTTGTTCTTGCACCTGGAGCTGTCAGAACAAAATGAATTCATTATTCCCTCACAGCCTGTTCTTGACACATCTGCAGAGCAGAAGTTTGCTCTTGCAGGGCTGTCAGACAGCGGCGCTATGATTGGTTGGATTTTCAAGGTGGGTGTTGCCAATTGTAAATTTATTTTGTGAAATTAAGAAATGACATTTTCACTTTGATTAACATATTATCAACAGTTATCAGTACTGTGTTGCTACTGTACTGTTGGTAATCTCCACAGCCACTGCAGTTTGACTTGACAGGGAGAGTCAGAGTGAACCTTGAGATGTCTGTTCTTGTTCTAAGTGCAAGAACAAACCTCTTACTACTTATGAAGTATGAACTGGCCTTAAGCCTGACCACAGTACGTAATCTTTTTTGTCTTTTCTGTTTAGTTTTTCTTCTAGTTTTCTAGATAAAGTGTTTCAGTTAACTGCAAAACTCTCACCATTTCCCAGCAGTGACCACATCCTTGAGACAGACCACAGCATGCTCCACTCACATCCATGTCTCATCTGGACTCACTCACTTTCTCTCTACATTAAAACTCGGCTGTACTCACTCGCACTAAACCCTGTAGACGGGTTGAGACGCCAAACCAGGGATGTCCATAGACTCAAATTACAACATCTCAATTTTGAAGATGATCGCCAACGTTCACTAACCTCCCAGAACCCCACTTCAAGATGGCTCCTCCAAACAAGTCCACCAGCTTTCTTAACATCGAATCGTCACTGCAAAATCTTCGGGCCCGACCGCTTTTTTGCTTTTTGCTTTTTGTGTTTTGTTTTTTTTGTTTCTTTGCTGTAGATTTTGGGCCAGTTTTGCTCTCCGTACATCTTTCTGTCGGACTCTCATGCTACACCCGCTAATGCTTACGTAGCGTTGTACGTTAGCAGCTTCAAAAAACGAGGAAGAGACGCTACATTTGAGGTAAAAGACTGAGTTATTTTGAATCAGGGACGAGCTACAGTGGCTCTAAAGACACTACGGAAAATTTTGGGAACGACATAATGCTGAGAATAGTGTGTGTGTGTGTGTTTTGTTTACCTCAAAACGGTTGCTTTTTTTGAAATGGGCAGACATGTTCGTTCACAATTGTACGATCTCACACGCCAATGCACACAACTGAAATTATTTTTGTGAAGTTTGTTTGAATGGATTGATATAGTTTGGGAAAAAAAAAAATACGGGGGGGTTTAAAGGGTACCATGTATATAAGCAATCTTTGTGATCTTTGGTGTGGCGAGGGGTACGGCGTTTTGAAGGTTGAGAATTATATATATATATATTTAACACTACACATCTGACAGGGATTGTACATAGGAGTTCTTTGGATATCCCTTAGCGAAATGCGTTGGCCCGCTGTTGTTGTTACATTTGTGTAAATATGCGGTGGGAGCAGAAGGGGGCGCTGCAGAGTAAAAGGGAAGATGTAGCCGTGGTGACGTGACTGTTTTTTGGAGTGAGCGACGTTACGAGGACTCTGTCACTGATGGAGCGCACTTTAACCCCTCCTCACCCCCCTCACGCACACACTCGCGCACACACACACACACATACACACACACACACACACACACACACACAGGGCACTACGATGTTATGTAATCTGTGCTATTTATTATTGTGAATCAGGCAATCAGGAGTCCAGAGCTTATTTGGCCATCTTTCATTAGCTTCAGTGTCAGCGTCATATTTGATTGTACTATGTATAATTATTGTTCGATATTAATAACATATTACACAAAAACATTTTATATTTGAATAATAATGAAATGATATATAAGTTAAGATAACAATAAGTGATAGTTTCACAAAATTCAATGGACAGCTCACAACAAAATGTGCTTTTACATATACTATGGAACTTTTATTTAATCTAATTTAATATTATTTATTTCTCGGACAAAGGCATTGTTTTGAATGACACTAGCTTCTCTAACAGGCTGTGGTGACTTTTCAGAGGTAAAACCTGCGTATGTTTCAAACAGACACGCTGTACACATGTGTATAGGACGAGCCAAGGACGGCCTGCTCACGGTCAGTTTGTGGTCACTTGGATCCAAAGCTTTCCTAAACTAAAGCCATGTTTTCTGAAGGATGTCTCACATGGTCCCTCCTCGACAGGAGTGACCTTTGACCCCAGCCAAGGCCGTGTGCACAGGATGTCATTTATACTGGACATGTCCAGAGAGCTCAGTGGACCGACCACTGAGGACAGACCACTGAGGAGTAACGCTATGTGCGTTTTGTCTGAATGTGTTTCCAGCTCCTACAGATACTGTATCTTCAACAAATTCTAATTCACCACATTGAATTGTTCTCTTTAACCTAATTTATTATTTGTTATAGGTCATGGAACTATCTACAAACAAACTTTTGTTTTAATTAGTTATTTATGAAAACAGGTTTGTTTGGTCCATCAGTCAACCAATTGACAAGCTTCTTACTCCAAGTGAAAATATTTGGAATGTTTTTAGTCATAAAGAAAACCTCTTGGAAACATGGCTGGACTGTGTCAGTAAAGTGACATCCTTTGCAGTCAGCGTCTTTTGCTGAGGCCTCGCTGGAATCACATATCGACAATCGTCCTCAGACCCCTCCGACACAGAGCTCCTCTCTTGTTTGGAAGTCTCACTCTTGTGTGTTTTCTCGTTTGAAATGTGATATTATTCTTGCGTTGCTGTCGTCATGACAATGAAGAATTCTGCGTTATCATTTTGTTTTCTTTTTCTTTTTTTTGTTGAATTTGACTTTGACTATAACTATTCTATAAATATATTTTTATTTTATTTGGGGGGAATGTTTGTTTAGTTTGGTTGTCTGTTTGCTTTGGGGGTGTTAGCGTATTATTGCACGGTTTTAGAGACAAGCAGCAAATGGTTGGGATGAAGTGTTCTAACCGCCATGATGTCAGCGCATGGAGCAGAGTGACTTTAGCCCCACGAGTTTCACACACACAAAAGATCACCTAAACATATTGAACAAAAATATGATAAATGATAGCTAATATATTGTGTTTGGCTAGTCTTTGGCTTTTTGTTGTAAAGATAATAATTTAATTGTTGTTTTTGGAGAATGATATACAGTTTGTGTATATTTTCATAATTAAAGTATGCACTGATATGTTATTACAAATTCTATACTGCTTTTACAGAAGTGTTTGTTATTGTACCAAAGTATCCATTGGTCCCCTCCTCTCCTCCCTCTCCCTTTTTGCGTATGTTTTACCGTATTTTATATATTAAATAGACAAGTTGACCTACACATGTGCCGTCTCTTTCTTGTTTTATTTGTTTCAATGTTTTTTATTTGCACATGGCTACATAATACAAATACATTACAAATATGCTAATGTGGAACAAAACTAAGCTCTAGCTTTTTTTTTTTTGTTTTTTTGTTGTTGTTTTTTTTCCCCTTCTATAGGGAAAAACAGGTAGTGGTCCAAAGTTATTCCTCACTTATCTAATGCATTCAAAGCATTTTAGTTTTTCACCCTGATGAGTTTATCAGCACTTTTGACAACTTTCTGGGCTTTGCCTTCACTATAACCAACAGTTATTTATATTTATATCTGACTTATTTTGGCCTCAAGAGCTGCTTATACGATACAATACAAGCTCTACTGGGGAAATTTTGCTCACATACACATGAACACATACTGTACAAAGGCTTTAATTTTTTTATTGTCCATGTGTAATTTGCGAGTACAACCAGAAGGGGGCGATGCCAACATGAACTTTAGGCTTCTGAATGGTTAGCACAAGCAACTTTTTCCCACTAACCTTCCACTTTTTATTATTGGAGAATAAACATTTAGCACAAATTAATACCAGCAATTAATACAGAAAAAAAACCAAAAAACAATCGGTTTAAAATTGTGTATAATTATGTCAGAATAATGTCACTATTTCAAACATGTTACATTGTAGACAGAGTTACATTAGGGTCATTCCACGCCAAATCTCCGAATGACCCCGCCTGACCACCTCAGATTTGACTGAAAAAATTCTAGGAGGTTCACACACTTTGCAGTAGGAGAAGTCTCCCAACTCCTTATAGTTTTGTCATTACAACATATTTTGTCAGCTCTCCCTTGACCTGTTTTGAGCAGAGTTTTCCAAGGAGCCTCTTTCAGAGGTTTGATATTGAACATACACCTTCCCACACAGGCTGTGTACTTTGTATTTTAAATCTGACCCTCTGTCAGGAACGCTCTAGAAGATATTAAGTGTTAAAAATGGAAAAAATGTATTTGGTGCCATCTTTACCATGTTATACCAAAAAAATGACAGCACCCACCAACATAAAATGGACTGTTTTAGAAAGACTATATTTCCAAAATTTGTGATGGTGTTCTGGCTAATTTTTGTAAAATGAATTTTTGAAAATGTGGTGTCCGCATACATGCAGAGCATTCATGGACTATGAAGGCACTATGAAGCTAAGAAAACACTCTGATCTCATGACACACAGCTTCAACTCAACAAAGACGTCCTCGTAATCATAGTATTGGCCATAATTTTTCTTTGGATTGTCCTGGACTTGATCTGAATCCTCCGTCCCATCTGTCTTCTTTTTTCTGTTCTTTTTCTTTTTCTTCCTGGTGGTAGAGGTGGAATCCTGGATCTCTTTGAAAATGCATTTTCCACAGTCCTTGAAAGATGCCCTCAGATTTGAAGAGTAGAATTTTTTGAAAAAATCCAAGCCCCCAGAAACCTGTGATAAATCAAAAGCACATGTGTAAAAGTCCAGATTCTACAAGTACATTTGCCAAATTTTAACCATTGAAAGACCGACCTTAAATAGTTTTTTAGATACAGCAATCTGAAAGAGGCTCCTCGGAAAACTCAAAACAGGCCAGGGGAGAGTTGAATTTTAATAACAAAACTAAGCAAAAGTTGGGGACTAAAATTTGAGATTTTTTCAATTGGAAAGTGTGTGAATCTCCTAGAATTTTTTCAGTCAAATCTGAACTGGTCGGGTGGGGGCATTCGGAGATTTGGCGTGGAATGACCCAGAAGCAAAGTCTGTGCTGTGTGCTTCTGTGTTGTGAACAGCAGAGGGCGCTTTGGTCACATCTAAGGGTCAACCCAGGACACATGATGATCTTCTCCTGTAGTCCCTGCTCATAGTTTTGAATTTAGATTTTAACTGTTGACAAAAATGCCTAGGCTTTTAGTAATTAGTATTTTGGGGTTGTTTTCAGCAGCAGACAATAATGATGACACCCAAAATGCTTTCACTTTCCACACCCCTGACTCATGTATGAATCAATACAACTCTATTGATGTGAGTGACCTGTGAAGAGAAAGATTTATCTGCAGAGGGCAAAGGGCAGCTGACTGAAAAGATCCTATTCTCAAGGTCGCTTATGCTCCTAATGACTGTTTATTTATTTATTTATTTCAGAGACAGTTTCTCCTGGGATCTGCTGTAGCCACGATGACCATGAGTACTAATGCTTTCACCTTCCAGGCCTTCTCCAGCTTTTCTCTCTGTCAGAAATTATTTTTAGTCATGATTATAAATGAAGAATGTGATGTTCAAATCAAATCAAATATACATTACCAGTCAAAAGTTTTCAAATTTTTCCAGTTATTTATTGCAATTCAAGTCGTGCAAGTCCAATGAAGAGCTTGAAATGGTACAAAGGTAAGAACTGAACAGACCAGAGGTTAAAAACACACACACACACAAAAACACAAGTCCAAGTTCTGCCAAAACTACCTCAGGAAAAAAGAACAATATGGTGAGCTTGAAAACATGGAGTGTCCAGCACAGACTCCAGACTTAAACCCCATCGAGCTGGTTTGAGGTGAACTGGACAGAAGAGTGAAAAACAAGCAACCTACAAGTGCCACACATTTATGGGAACTTCTGCCAGAGACCTGGGAAGAACTTTCTGAAGAATATTTGATTTCTATTGTAAAAAGAACAAGCTACGAGTGTGTTCAGCTGTTCTATCTGCCAAAGGTGGACACTTTCATCAGTCAAAAGTTTAGAATATGTTTTGGTCGACAGTAAACAGTAAAAAAAACTGTTAAAAGGAGTGTGGTGTTCTAAAACTTTTGACTGGCAGTGCAGCTTTTACTGATAAGAATAGTAATGCTGATTTATTATCAATAATGCAAACACTGGTCACTGGTCTCAAAACAAAAGAGGACTCTCTCTGATCTGAATGGTCACTACCTAAACTCCAGCACCTGAGCTGAATCAGTGCTAGTGCAGCCTCTGCAGCTCAGGGAGGGAATTGTGGAGGTTCTGAGCTTTCACATGAGACTTGGTTTGTTCGTCTGTCCATATACTGAGAATGAGAAAAACTTGTTTGTGTCCTCCATCTGCAGGTTAAGCCACTGGCAAAAAAAACAAACAAAAACAGTATTAATGTATTATTTTTATCCAAATATCCTCTTGGTACAATATTATCACGATATGCATCTCGTGCTACAATATTTATTGCAATATTTTGAAGAACCTGATATAATTGTAGATTAGATACTTTTTTGCTTTTCAAACACCTTGACAAGATTTTTGTGTGATTTATTACCGTCATAATCCCAAGAATTCAAGTAAAAAACATATCTCTTCATGTTGTCTACACTGAAATGAATCATGGGATATTTAGTTCCCTATGTTTATAAGCTGTTGCTCCTATAAAACTATGCATTTAAGCAAAGGAACTTGTGCTTCGATATATTGTGACAGCCCACAATATTATTGTGAGACTTTTGACGATACAATATCACAATATTTCGATTATTGTTACATCCTAATCATTTTCTAATTACACAATCCTCATTCCACTCTCTAAGCTCCAGAATGCCAGGAAAGCTAGGAATCTGTGTCTCCCTAAAAAAGAACTTTGGACTTTTCCTTTTATTTTATTTTATTATTATTTAATTTAGAAAATTGAGAGTGAGAACAGAAATTATGTTTTTTTCATATGTTAAATAGAAATTTGACAATAAACTTTGAATTAAACTGAATTTGAACAATACAAACATTATTTACATTTACATTATTTACTTTAAATAAATACATCAAAATAGATGTATTTATTTAAAGTAAATAATGTAAATATGCTAAATAATGCAATAACCAACATTTCACATGCTTCAAAATTCTTCTGATCACTGTGTCTTTAATGGCAGAAAAGAAAAAAGTCAGCTCTCTGCTCGTCTGTGATCTCCTCCGTGCTTCTGCCCTTCTTCCGTCCTCCCCCTCTCCTCTCCTCCCCTCCCCGCCCTCTCCCCTGACTCCTCCCCTCACCCCACCCCTCCATCCCCTCCACAAAAAGCCCTCCTCCTCCATCCTAACCTCACTTCTCCGGCTAAACGCCCCACACGAGCGCTCTACAGCCTGGACACTCTGCTCCACCGCTTCTCCTCTGTCCATCATGGAGTTCCTGCCATTCAAACCCACGCACCCACCCTCCAGCCATTACGGAGGGGAGAGGGAGCAGATGCTGAACCTCAACCAACGCCTGGAGACCTACCTGAACCGCGTGAAACTTCTGGATGAGGAGAACGCCAAGCTGGCCAAAGAGATCCAAACGTTGAGAAGGAACCATCACGGCAGCCAGGAACGCAGGAGGTTCATGGATGAAGAACTACGGTGCGCGAGAAGGGAAGTGGACACCATGTGGAAAGAAAGAGTTTACGCAGAAGTGGACGTCGCCAGACTAGCCGAAGAGCTGCAAACTTTGGATCTTCAGCTGCAAAGAGAGACCCAAGCTCACATGGAAACCAACGCGAAAGTGGAAAAAAGCAGAAGAGAACTTGAGGAGGAACGGCGAGCTCAGATATGGTTGACGGAGAAGGTTAACCAGCTAGAACACGAAATGAAATCGCTCATTCAAACCCATCAAGAAGAGGTCGCCAACATGGAGCATATGCTGATGCAGACCAAGGTGATGCCGACGACGAGGCCGTCCGTCCAGCAGGGTCCATCTTTACTGGAGCTGGGGGAAGAGTACAACCTGAGAGCAGCGAGAGCGTGGCAGGAGGCGGCAGAGGCGTACCAGGGCCAGCTCGCACGTCTGGAGGAGTCCGTGAACGAGACCAGACAGAGGTTGGTCCAGGTCAATAAGGAGAAGAGCGAGAGTGTGATGAAGTTACAGAACCTGGACAGGGAGCTGCTGGGCCTGCAGGATCTGAGGGAGCACCTGGAGAGCACGGTCGAACAGCAGAGGGAGAGCCACTGCCGCGATATACAAATGCTGCAGGTGAGATGGTTTGATGTTTCTTTTTTTTTTAACATCTCGTGTTTAGTGGAAAGTGTGGTTTAAACTCCTCAAAAAAATCCAAAAATAAATGTCGACCTTAAATTTTTGGTGCTATAAAATTAAACCAAAATCCAAGTCCACGCAGTTTCCAAAGTGCCGTACAGAGATCGTAACATTACGACAACAAAAAGGTAAATTGCTAAAATTTTGTCATACCAGCCCTAATACAATAAAACCAGTAAAAGCAAATAAAAGCAAAAACATAAAAACTCATAAAATATCAGTAAATAAGTAAAATAAATAAATAAAGACACAGAGGTCCACACGACTCACTGTGCTAAAAGCCAGAGAATAAAAGTGGTCTTAAGACGAGACTTAATACACTCCGCTGTGGGGGCTGTTTGGACATTTGGACATGGGGTGGGGGGGTGGGGGGGGGGTGGAACGTTCCAGAGCTTGGGGCCGACTACAATAGCAAACCAAACCAAAACACAAAGTACGTCTTAAGAGTTCATCTTACAGCAGGTGAAGCACTTGTTTTATATCTTGTCAGATGTCTTGATCCGAAATAGCCAAAATCTGAACAAACATTATGAAATTCTGTATGTCTGTTAACGGGGTGGAGCTCTGGAACAAGTGTACAGAAGATCTAAAACTGCGCAACACTCTCTTCCATTTTATAAAGAAGTTTAAATGTTTAACTCTGGGCAGATACATGAATTATGATACTTAGTACTTTAATGTGCAGTTACTGATTTGTTTGTTTCCTCTTGCTGTATTTATGAAGATGAACTGGTGTCAAGATGATGCTCTGACAAAGTAATAAAGAGTAAAGGCAGAATAAGCTCAAGCTTCAGTCTACACCTTTTCAGTCTGTGTATGTTAAATATGACTGTCTGTGGAATAATCTTAGAATATACCTGTATCTTTAAGGTTAGGTATTTATTTTATATCATATCTACAGTTTACTATACAAGCAATGTCATTTTTTGCGTTTTTATTAGCAAAAAAATAACATTGAAAACATGCATCCTTATTGTGAGTGGGCTCTTCTCTGTATATACAACTTGTAACTCTGTGGCATCACTAAACTCATAGGTTACGTTAGGTTGCTTTATTCGTACCCGTAGGTAAATTTGCTTTGTAGATTTGAGAGGCAGGTCCCACATTTCACATTTCATTCATCCACAAAACACGTATAAAAACACAATTACAAAATCAAGTGTTACAGAGCTCCAGTGCAGAATGGTTTGCTCCATAAACAATTAGTTAAATTCATCCATCACGCTTGGCTAAAATCACAATAAATATTAAATATGTTAAAAACACACAATCTTAGATAAATAGATTACAATTTATTCATAGTTACGATAGAAGCTCCTTTTAAAACGATTTGTTCTAGATCTTGGGAGTAACAGCCTTTGACCAGAGGGAAGCAGCTGAAACTCTGTGGACGTAGGTAACCAAAACATAGGTATCCATGAAGATCCCTATGTTTAATGCCACAATGCGGAACATTCCAAAAAATCAAGGAGGTGGCAGATCTTTCATGAGAAAAGTTATATAGGTGGGTTTCAGATGACATCACAACATGTTATAGACCAAAGTTATTTAATACAGATGGGGGCAAGTAAAATTTATGTTAAAATGTAGATTTTTGTTCTCATATAGTGAGTTCTTGTGTCTAGACACTGATAGAAATGTTCAGGTTTAACATTTGTGAATTTACATTTTGTATATTTCATGGTAAAGTCCAATGTTTTTAATAGGGAAATTTGACTCTTGACCCCAGTTTGAGAGTATGACATCATCACATTCAAGAATCTGAAAACCACCAATATTTCACCTTTAATTGAATTTTTAATTGCACCTCAATCCCTACTCCCAGCATTCTTCTTTGTAAAGCCAGAGGCCCGACAAATTGGGGAACTCCTGAGCCTTGTCAGTCTTTTTTTATTCCCAAAATAAATCGATGAGCCATTAGGAAACTATGTGAAAGGGTGTGTGCTGTTACTCGTGACAGTGCAATCAGTGACTGTCACAAATAGACCCGGGCTTTATGCAGAGTCATGCCTCAGGACCACGTAGTATATTGATTCTATTATAAGATACGAGACATTGATTTGGTGTAGATTTTCTAGAAAGTTAGATTAAAAAAAAAAAAAAAAAACATATCCCAACTGTACCATTCATTATATGAACGGGCTGAATCTCGATTAAATATGATTAATTGGAGAGCCCTATCTAGTCAAATTATAAATATCCAATAGTAATATAAATTAAGAATACAGGGCAAGTCTTGAAAGGAGTATGACAGATAAAGCTAACTCATTTATCCAGTGACATTGAAGGTCGCGTGTAATGGGACAATAATGTTTTAATCAATACAGGAGACATCATTTACTAGTATATTTACATAGCCATTAGCCTGACCAGCCCACCCATCATGTCTTATCTAACCTAAGCCAATAATGAGTGTGACAGGGGCTGACAATTGTAATGAAATTTCGAAATTAAAAATAAATCACAATCTACTTTGGTTCCATAAAAACAAGTTTAAAATTTCTATTTAAGTAAACGTATTGTACACACTGAAATATAATTGTTCAGTGTTTTTAGTATGAGGTTAATGAGTTGTGATTCTGATTCTGATTAAAGACACATTATGTAACTTTTCTTGTCTCTCTGACTAGGGACGTAACAATAACCGACATATCGTGATATCGTATCGTCAGAGGTCTCACAATATATCGAATTACAAGTTCTTTTGCTTAAATGCATGGTTTTATATTAGCAACAGTTAAAAAACCATAGGAAACTACATATCCCATGATTCATTTCAGTGCAAACAATGAAGAAATATGTTTTTTCCTTTAATTTAACTAATTTTGACAGTAATAATTTGCATCAAAGTCTTGTCCAAAGTATTTTAAAAGCAATACGTATCCTATCCGCAATTCTATACACTTCTCCAAAATATCACAAATATGTCTTGAATGTTCCACAGTATGGCATTAACAATATCCACCTTGAATTGATATAAATATAGATGTTTTTGTTTATCTAAATGAACTTGAAACATTTGTATTCTTACTGTGAGGTAGCTCGTTTCGCCACCGATTTGATTAACTAGGACTGATGGTGTGAAATTTCCATGGAGTTGAATACAATACTGTGGAACATTCTAGACAAAACAATAACATCTCCATGGAAAACACAGCGAGCCTTTAACTTACCACCAAAATCCCCCCTTGACAGTAAAGGGGCCTCATATTGTGCAGCCAACCCAAACAGAACTATTTATTTTTACAAAGTTTGACTACACAATGCGCACTACTGAAACCTTCTTCCTCTTCCTGTCTGACTTCCTGTTTGGTGTTTTTTTTTGGTCCAGGAGCACTTGGAGGCCCTGGAGAGAGAGAAGTACGCCCTGACCCAAAAGATGGACCAACTTCTGCAGGAGAACAGGGGCCTGGCGCAGATGAAGATGTCCCTCAATATGGAGGTGGCCACATACAGGTAGGCGCTTTATCACATGTGATCTTCTCAAGGTTCGAGTGGAGTTTGCATGTTCTCTCTGTGTTATAGTGGGTTTTAAATTTGGAGCTCTCGTTTCCCTGACAACCCAAAACATGCATCATAGGTCTATCCTCCAGCTAGGTACTCCCGACCAAGACTGGAGCTTAAACTTCTTATGGTTGGGTGACCTATTTCACGAAAATGAAGCAAATTTAAGGTTTTTCTTTTTTGTTTTCCAGTTCCCCAGTTTTGCTGTTTCATAATTTTAATTTTTGATTAGAAAAATAATGACATCATACTTTTCATAACTGTTTCATAAACATATGTCATTAGCTTCTTTTTTCAGACCAAGAGTTTGTTTTCATACCTGACAGTTTTGACTGCTCACTAGCGTCTTCCTCAGAGTGGTCACATGATGTTGCTGTGATGTGTCCGGTCAGCTGATTCAAGCAGGTTTTGGCGCTGTCTTCCTACTGATCGAGACAGGATGACAGCGCCATCTGCAGTTCGACTTCCTCAGGACAGTATCCCAGGTGTGTGAGAGTAAAAAAGCCCCCTCGTCCCAGTATATAGTCCCATCGGCACATTTCCGTATTTACTGGTAGGAAGACGGCGCCAAAACCTGTTTAAATCAGCTGACCAGACATGTCACAGCAACATCATGTGACTCTGAGGAAGAGTGCTAGTGAGCTGTCGAAACTGTCAGATATGAAAACAAACTCTTGGTCAGAAAAAAGAATCTAATAACATAAATTATCAGAAGACCAAATTAACCTCATTGGACTGTTTCCTATAGCAACCATACACTGAAACAAAGCTTGTATAATTTACTCAATATACAAATAAAACGACAAGTAAATAAAAAAATAAGAAAACACACACATACCAGATTTTTCCATGTGTTTGAGCAAAATTTATCCCAGTACAGACACATTGAATAAGCAGCTATTCAAGTCAAAATACATCCACTGTTTACAGTCTGCATTTAATTGTCCGATAATCAGTAAGTGCACGTTAGCATGCTACTTGTTGCTGCTTTACTGTGACGGTGAAACTCCGCTCTGATTTCTGAAAGTTGTGAAAAGGGCTCATAAACTCATCAGTGTTGAGGTAAATGAAGGATAACTTTAGACCACTTCAAACCATTTCAAATGATCTAGTTCTTTTCTTCACAAAATACTACTTGACTGATGGAAGATCTTGAGAAGAATGACTAAAAGCTGTGTTATCCTAAATCTACCCTATAACATCCAATGAATGCGAATTAAACTTGAGAAATTATAAAATACGCCAAAGCTCAAATGGTCTAAAATACCACCATCGAATCTGCTTTCTATTGCTTGGGGAAGACCTAAAAGTGAAGATCCATCACTTCTACCACCACGTCAAGAGTAACAGCCCCATTCAGATCACCCCAATGGAACAAAAATGGGACAAACCCTTTAAACCAGTGCAGCTGTCTAGACTAGAGGTCAGTGCATTGAAACCGCTGCCTCTCATGTCCAAAGCTGAGTGTATCGTCCATTACAGAGCTCCATTGTGGCGTCTGGTTTCTCCTTTGCCCCCTCCTCAAAATATTGACGCTCAGATGCAGGGAGAGGAGACGGGTGGGTTATGAGCTTTGGGAGTCTAGAGTAACACAGGAGCCAAGGGGAAAAGGATGGATTTGAAGGTCATGGCCTGTCATGTCCTAAAAATAAAAAAGCTACAGATGAAAAATATATTGTTGTTGTAATGTTAGCAGCTTTAGTTTTATTTGTGCACATGTTGCAAAGGTTATGAATATTTTATTAACGCATTTTAACAGTTAAAGTACACCATGTAAGTCAAAAAAACTAAAAAGAAAACAATCCTGTGCCAAATTTCTATCACTTTAAAAATATAAAAGGTCCAAAGTTACTCTTCCGTTACCTTATATATTCTGCGCATACTAATTGAGTTTAAATGAATTTATAAGAGCTTTGAACAACTTTCAAGAACAAAGTTTTTTTTGTCACTCTAAACCTAACAACAACTAGCATGCTGACACACACTCTTGCTTGTGTTAAAAACCTTGCAGCTGCATTTTGTACAAGTTGCAGCCGCTTAAGCGTAGAAGCGTTAAAACAAGTAAAAAGAGAACTACAAAAATCTGAACGAGATGAAATAAAAGAGTGAACAATCATTTCAGGATCAGCATTTGCTAAAATTGGTCTGAGTTTAGTGATGTTCCGTAGCTGCTTATACAATATATCTGTTTCATCAACTTTTTTTGGTTCATCACAATAAATAATACTATTCATTAACCAATTTTGAAATATAGAAGTATTACAATTATATATAGTCTTTATCACAATATTATATCACATTTTCTTACCGTTCTGGGCTGAAATTGCAGCTTTATCATGTGTGTATAGGAATGCCGGCTCCACATGTGTGCATTGTGACAGTGGCATTAGTGCTGCTTGGTCTGCTCCTCACATGTGCTGTCAGAGCGTCTGTGGACACACAGTGGAGGAGCCGTGCAGATGGTGGGTCAATGACGGGGTCTGGCCCACATTTCCATAACAACAGTCTGCTGCCTGCCTCTGCCGCTTAAGGCCAACAAAAGTCACCCCCTACTCCCATCCACCCCTGTGAAGAGCATCATCGTACAAACAACAAATTCTTACAAATGTAGTTATCTGCTCTATCGTCTTGCTAATTTGCTGCATTATATTTCATAGTTAATTGAAGTATACAGTTGGAAATGCTATAACGTCTACTTCATTGTATAATTATGAAAGTAAAATGCAAAAATATACTTGTCCATATCGATAAATATCTTTCCTATTGGCCGAGGATGGTGCCAATCATATCTAGAAAGCTGCAGCAGAATCTGAAGAGTAGAGTGTGTCAAAAAAAATTAATTTGGTCAGTTGAGCTATGAGGTAGGTTATGTGTGATGGACCATGAACGGATCTGTATAATGATTCAGAAAGCATCCAAAGGCAAATATTGTGAAGAATTGTGGCATTCCTGTTCTTAGTATAACAATTTTGACCAACCAATTAAAACTGATCTCCTCCAAAATGTGTTAAATAAAAAAATATATATATCGCTATTCTATTTATTTATGTTTTTGTGTTGGCTTAAATTTAAGTATAAGTTGTACCTAAGTTATTTGGCCAATTCTTTCCAATATGTGTCAATCCTTTGTCCTGTAATATATAGCGATCCATATGCTCCAACTACCACACTACCGATAATAAACGTCATTATGATTTCATATGGATGACATCATAGCACCCCTCCACATTCTACTCTCTGTAGAGCTCTTGAATTGTGAAATAACCTACTGCCTGTCTTGTGCTTTCACAGAGCGTTGCTGGACAATGAGAGCCTCAAGGGAAACATCACTTTGCAAAAGCAGTCTAGAAACATTTACAGCAAAGGTAATTAAACTACATAACTACATTGTACATAAATAAAGGTCCTATATTACATCAGATGGACTCTTGCCATGTTGAATGTTGTTACCTCATCAAAAACAGACCTGGAGTTGTGTTTTGTTTTATTTATTGACATGTTTGATTACATTTATTATTAGTCTGTCCACATCTCCAAACCGGAAAATTCTTTGTTCCACCTCATAGTGTCATGAAGCTGTAGTTTTCAAGTTAACAGCTCCTTTTACCTTTTGTTCAGTAGAGATTGGCAATTCCAGGTCTGAAATTATGGAAATGATTCTAGTGAAGGTGTATGAAGTAAAAACACCGTGGAAGCACTTCCTGTATTACAACATGACATCACAAGGTGGCAAAGAGTGTTTTCAGTTCGAGAGAAGAATTCAGCCTAAATATGCAGGATTTGTGTGTTAAACATGTGTGAATGAAACAAACACAACTCTAGATATGTTTTTGATGAGGGAAACTACAGTAAAAAAGGAAAATGGTGTAATATGGGCCCTTTAATTAAAAAAAAAACAACAACATTAATTTAACACTACCTTATTTTCATTGACGTCGAGTACCAGTTGATAGCACCATCCATCCCACCTTTTTAGTTGAATCTAGTGTAATTTCTCTTAGCGTAACTAAAAGCCTCTGGTGTGGTGTGATGTTTGCTTTAATCATGTTAACCTGACCAGAGCCATGCGGGGGTCTTTGCTAAGAGGCTGAGCTCGGCACTTTGCCCACTGTAATGGAAGCCACCAGCGGCAATCCCCAACGGACACTCAACCAGATGGCTGTGCTTTCTGGTAACTCAGAACAACGGAGGAGGAAGTGGTGATCAATAACTTCCCATTAGGATCTACAGCCTCCACTAAGAACCTAGTATTTACTAAAGCTTTATGCAGGCTATTTTAATCTCTGTCATGTGATTATCCAAATGGCAAGCAGTTATTCTAGAGGTAACGCTAACGCAAAGCTGCTATTATCTTATCATATTTTAACTACTTAATTTGTTCAACCTTATTTATTTATTTATTTATTTTTTTACAGTAACTCATAAAACTCATTGTATATTAATAACTCCTGTCCTCTTGTCCTCCACAGAAGCAGTTTTCAGTCCATGGGGAGATCATTACCAGCTGTCTCCAAGCCCCAAGACCACTTCCTCACCACCGCTCCGTAGCATGAGTGGAAAGACAAAACCAACAGTGATAACAGCCACACCAATCCGCTATCAAACATATGTGCCAAGAAGGGAAAAACTGGAAATCTCAAAGGAAAAGGTTGAAGACAATAAGGTTTTCCAGCAGCCAGAGTTGACTCCTTATCCCAAAGTGCTCAAGGATGGAGCTGTAGAGAATTTCCGCCCCCAAGAGGTGAATGAAAAGGTGACATACGCTGAGCCGCTCTCTTCACCAGATGAACAAGAAAAAACACTAGATTTGGAGAAAATTGCAGACAACTGGAATGACACTGTTGATCAACGATCTGAGGAAAAACTGGAGTCAAGCCAAAAGCTCGAGGCCAGAGTGGATGAAGCAAATATACAACTTTTCGAGCCAGCAATATCTGCGGAATCAGGTAGTCTCTCTGTGAAATCTGAGCCTATGGAAAAGCAAAGTGAAAATGAAGAAATTGAAAAACCACAAGCACCAATAGATGCGTGGATTGAGGAGGAAATGGTTAGCCAAACGGAACAACCTTATGTCAGGTCAAGTCTTGGTCAACAGCTTGAATCATCTTCTAACCTTGAAGAACCCATCATTGAGGCTACCCCAGAAGTGGTTGAGGAAGCTTTCACACAGGAAGTGAGCAGTGTTGTGGTCAAAGCTCAACAAGAAACACCTTTTGTAAATGAAGCAACAGAAAAGCCTCAAGAACCAACTGATGCATGGGTTGAAAAGAAGTCTACAGAGGAAACGAAGGCTGCACAAGAACATGTCGAGTCTTCCGATTCAGAAACACAAGCATTTGTTGAACCAAATTTTGACACCAAGTCCACCAGTCCAGCCTCTGAATGTGAGCATGAAGAATCTCTCCAAAACCAACTGGGTGATATTGTTCAAGAAGAATTCATCTTTGACAGTGATCGTGCCCCAACGGTTGGTACCAGTCCACCCAAAGAGAAGTTGTACCCCGATGGAGAGGAGATGGACACATGGGATAGCGTCATGGAACAAAATCAAGGTCTGATTGCTGATGATTTAGAACAATCTCCTGAAGAAGGTTTGAAGCAACATGCTGAACCAGAGGAGGACATTTCAGCAAAAGAGGTACAACATCAAATGCAAGAAGTGATGCCAGGTGAAGAGATGCAAGCAAAGTTTGAACTAGATACTGAAGATGAAGGACAAAAGGATTCCATAAAAGAAGACCTTCCAGACAAAAGCGAAGAAGAAGAAGAACAAGAAGATTCCCAAAATGTCTCTGTGTCATGGCAGACCGAGCTTGAGGGAGACAGCTATGCCCAAGATAACACCCTTGCAGACACCAGACCTCTGATCAGATACAAAAGCGACGAAACTGACGCCAACACGCAAGCGTCGCATGCTGATGATGTCGATGATTCCAGTGATGGAGAGCAAGACAAGAAAGTTGGTGAGATGGGAAGTGGCACGTGGATCGAGGATCAGACCAGACGGTTCGGAACTATGGAGGATCTGTGTGAGGAGGCAGAAGGAGAGGTTTTGGATGAGGAGTATGATCTAGAATACCTTAGAAACGATGGGAAGGAAGACAAAGAAGAAATGGACACATACACACAGGAAGAAGAAGATAAGACACAAGAGGAAGTTATAAAAACGATGATTGAGGAAGAATTAGACACAGACAAACTTGTGGAACAGGAGTTAGAAAATTTGACAACAGAATGGTACACCACACATTTTATGCACCAGCAAACTAGTGAAAAAGACACACAGCAAAATGAAACTTTTGCTGAAGAGCCAATAGCCTGGGGTGAAGCTTTGGGAGACATGCCAGAATCCACTGACGAGGAAGATTTTCACACAAATGAAACTCTGGTTGAACCAAAAAGTGATGAGCACTTTGAAGAAGAACCACAACAGCAAAAAGACAAAGTGGTCCAAGAAGTTCAAGAAACAGCTGAAGTTGAGGAGGAAGATAAGCATGATGTATCCATGGTAACACAATGCAACACTACAGAGGACATTACTGAGTTTAGGCAAGAATCAGTATGGTCTTCCACAAGTCAAGAGCTGTCTTTTGAGAATGTGTCTTTTGAACAGAAAGAACCTGAAAACATGGGAGAGCAAGCAGAAGAGAAGAAGTCAATAGACCAAGATATGCTCACTAAAGTTGAGGAGGAAGTAAAGCATAATGTATCTATAACACATTGTGACACTACAGAGGTCATTACAGAAGTTAGGAAAGAGCCTGAAAACATGGGAGAACAAGCAGAAGAGAAGGACTCAATAGTCCAAGATAGGCCAACTACAGTTGAGAAGCACTCTGAAGAACCACAACAGCAAAAAGACGAAGTGGTCAAAGGAGTTCAAGAATTGGCTGAAGTTGAGGAGGAAGATAAGCATAATGTATCCATGGTAACACATTGTGACACTACAGAGGTCATTACAGAATTTAAGGAAAGAGCCTGAAAATATGGGAAAGCAAACAGAAGAGAAGGAGTCAACAGACCAAGATATGCCAACTACAGTTGAGGAGCACTTTGAAGAAGAACCACAACAGCAAAAAGACGAAGTGGTCAAAGGAGTTCAAGAATCAGCTGAAGCTGAGGAGGAAGAAAAGCATATTGCATCTATGGTACCACATTGTGACACTACAGAGGACATTACTGAATTAAGGAAAGAAGCCATATGGTCTTCCACAAGTCAAGAGCTGTCTTTTGAGAATGTGTCTTTTGAACAGATAGAGCCTGACAACACTGGAGAACAAGCAGAAGAGAAGGTGTCAATAGACCAAGATATGCTAAGTAAAGTTGTGGAGAAAGATAAGCATGATGTATCCAAGGTAACACATTGCAACACTACGGAGGACATTCCTGAGATTAGGCAAGAATCTGTATGGTCCTTCACAAGTCAAGTGATGTCTTTTGAACTGAAAAAGCCTGAAAACATGGGAGAACAAGCGGAGTCAGTAGTCCAAGATATGCCAACTACAGTTAAGGAGGAAGATAAGCACAGTGCATCCACGGTAACACATTGTGACACTACAGAGGACATTACCGAGTTTAGGCAAGAATCTGTATGGTCTTCCATAAGTCAAGAGCTGTCTTTTGAACAGAAAGAGTTTGAAAACATGGGTGAAAAAGCAGACGAGAAGGAGTCAATAGACCAAAATTTGCTAACTAAAGTTGAAGAGGAAGATAAGCATAATGTATCTATGGTAACACATTGTGACACTACAGAGGACATTACAGAATTAAGGAAAGAATCCTTATGGTCTTCCACAAGTCAAGAGCTGTCTTTTGAGAATGTGTCTTTTGAGCAGAAAGAGTCTGAAAACATGGAAGAACAAGCAGAAGAGAAGGAGTCAATAGACCAAGATATGCTAACTAAAGTTGAGGAGGAAGATATACACAAAATAACCATGGTAACACATTATGATACTACAGAGGACATTACAGAATTTAGGAAAGAGCCTGAAAATATGGGAGAACAAGCAGAAGAGAAGCAGCCAATTGTCCAAGATACGCTAACTGGAAATGTGGATGAACTCATCAACAAAAATGAGTCCAACAAACTTCTGTTATCCTCTACTGTTGAATCAGTGACTCCCGATAATGGTGTTGAAATGAGGGATACAACACCTGAAGAAATCTTTATGCCCGAAGAAGTAGATACAGAATTTCCTAAAGCTCTAGCTACAACTGAATGGGAAGTTCTTGAAAATCCTACAGAAAATATTCACCATGATGATAAAATTGCTAGTGACTTAACCCCAAAAGGCCTCTCCGGTGATGACAAAGCTGATCATGATTCTTTGTCACCCATGGACGAGCCCCTAAATATGTCTCCTGAAAGTGTTCATGAAGGTTCTGATCTCTTTATTGTAAAAGATTCAAAGGAACTGTTGAAAACTAATGGTAAAACTAGTCTGGATGATATGTTTAGTATGACCGCCAATAATGATTTCTGGGTGTCTCCTTTAGAAACTGGTGCCACGTATCAAACTGATGATGTAGATAATAAACATACAGAGTGGAAGCTGGGTTTTGGAGATGTAGAAGGTAGGGAGACGCAGGAGTTAGTCGAAAAAACAGATATGGCTTATGAACAAAAAGAGGTTTCACAAATTTTTACAAAAACTGTTGTCAAGGGAGAAATAGTCCATTCTGAAGAGTCTGAAGATGATAGTGAAACAATGTCTTCTGGTGAGGAATAAAGATATAAGAGCATATAGTTTTATTCTACTTACATTTCAAAGAATATTAGCAGAACCAAAGCTGTGCCTTGGGGTGCGCCACCATCTACCAACGTGCCAATACTGTTTGCTATGAAAAGTACTTGCATTTTCCCCCATTATCGATGGAGTATCTGTTAGAATCTTAACTAGCCATAAGATTTAGTCCTGGCGCATACCATAGAAAGGTTTATCTGCATGAGGGAACAAAGAGTGTAATTTGAAAGTCGTAGCATTTATTGATTTGTGGCTAATCTGATTCACTGACTAATGAAAATCAATGGGAGCAGAGGGGTAGAGTTGCTTGTAGTTGCTATTTTACACTGTATGAGCTTATATTTGTGAATAAGTATTGTGACCGACTTGAAGACGGTAAGAAGCATGTCGGCACAGAATGTATCTAGTCCAGGTTTAGGAAAAATAATTAAGATTTTCCAGTTGCATTTGAAATATTTACGCTGTTACGGTACATTTTTTGTCCTTAATAAAATATAGATTATACATGAGAAATGGTGTCTGTATTTATTTTAAAAAATATGCAAAGTTGCAAAGTTAAATATTGTACTATGAATCTTAAACAGCTTTGTTGAATTTATAGAAAATTTATTAAAAACATTTTATTCAAGAAATGTTTTCAACTGTACTTAAAAAAGCTTCACTTTCACTAGTTTATTTTAAATCACCTGATGCATACAATTCATGTAAAATTCCTGAACTAATACCATAACATTTTATGATAATCAAAATTAAACATTGGTTAATACATACTTTAAAAAAAAAGTATTGCTACTAATACAATAATTTAAAGTGCACATGGCAGATTAGATTCAGTACACATTTCACAAAAACACAACACAACTTAAATTTAAGATTTTATAAAAAGAATCTTGGCCATTTTTTTTTTCTTCTTAAATTTTTGTGAAGTTTATAATTTTACTTCCTGGTTGAACACTGACAGCAGATATGACATACGTAAAGATAATTCCATATCTGTTACCTATGGCAACCATGATGTTAAGGGCCAAAACTGGACACATTTGAATTACACAATAGTTATGATTAGACTAATTTAAATAGATCAAAATAGCACCTTTATTTTGTTAAATTTGTTAATAAATTGCCAAAATGTGTTCTTTCATAATTTGTTGCAGCATTTTTATTATTATTATTATTATTTTTTTATTATTACACAAATGAAAACAAAAATAAATAAAGACAAAAACCCCCTAACCCTCTCACACCCAACTCCTCTCTTCACAACACAAAAAACACTGGGAACACAAATATCAGTTGTTCCAGCATTTTGGATGGAATTTTCTGTTGAACTAGTCTCACAGCTACTTCCTGTATTTTCGTACCTTTCTGCTCAACTTTTCCCCCCTTAAACTACCGTATTAGTTTGGAAACAGCCATCCCTGAGAGAGGGCCAAGGACACAAGGAGAGAACAATGCGTGACCTCACCTCCACTCCTCCGTAAGCCTCCTCTCTCCTCGTCTCCTACCCCCTCCGCCCCTCCCCTCAGGCATTCAGGAGGAGCAGGCCTGAACAATGGCAGCAGGAGCAGATGCTCGCTTGTGGACTGTGAATCAGGAGGAAGGAAGCTCAGCTGTATTCAGAGCAGTGGTATTACCGCACCTCACTGGCATGTGCCCATTCTGCGACGCCAAAGGGGCAGACAGCACTTCATTATTATTGGAAAGACATAGTTTTGGTTCTGTACTTTTGGATAATTAAAGAGCATATGACAAGTTTGACTCCTCATTTCACTAAAACATAGTTAACATTGAAATTTTTTACATTATTTTAATAATATATTTTGGTGATATTTATAATTTAACTTTCTGGTTTGGACATGGAAATGTGACATACACCATACAAGCAACTTTTAACATGAGCCAAAACTTATTTAAAGGAAACAAAATACCCACTAGTCAAGTGGTCAACTACACTGGAAAAAAAAACAATATCTAGATAAGTTAAAATGATTTAAATTAAGAACATTTTACTTTATTTGAGTAGATTCAACTTGGCAAGTAAAATTATCTACCAATGGAATAAGTGTGTTTTTCCTAATTCTAGCAATATTTGATTTTGTTTCTTATTTTAAGTGCAAAAAGTTGTTGTTTTTTTCTTCAGTATAACAGATGTATTTTCATATTTTAACTACAAAATGTCTTATTCCACTGGCAGATAATTTTACTTGTCAAGCGAAATTTACACAAATCGTGATAAAACTTTCTTAATTCAAGTCATCTTAACTTGGCTCGATTTTGTTTTTGCAGTGTAGGTTTAGTTTAACACTGAAGCTTGCGTGAATTATTACACAAGTCCACTGTGTGCTGTCTTTATCTAATTATTAAGCTTTCTATTGGCCGATAAACAGGAAGTGCACTGTTAGCATGCTAGTTGTCAGCATTACCGTGATGACAAAACTCTGTCTTTGAAAGTTGTGAAAAGCTCTTATGAACTCATCAATGCATAAGGTAGTGAGGAATAACTCTGGACCACAACAAATAATTTAAAACGAAGCAGATCTGTTTTTTTTTTTTTAACTTTATATTATGCTTATGTAAAAAAATAAACTGATTGCTGGGTCCTCATTGACTGAAGAAACTGTAGATGCAGCACTAGACTAATGAGAATCCCAGAAGTCCTCAAAAAACGTAACTGACCCAATACACCGATGTCTCCTATTTACCTCCTTATCTTTCACCTCAGTGTCACTTAAGGTCATGTCATCCGTGTAACCTTTCTCTTTTACTGTGCACAGAATCCTTCCGCTGGCTCCATATGTCTGACCCACACCCTCTCCCCCGCTCCAGCTGTGACCAAAGATTATTGACTGTATTGATGAGCTTATAGGGTATGCGGGGGTTGAAAGGGTTTCCTGATGCTGCTTGTCTCCGTGGAGATATCATTGCTTTCCCTGGTATGTTCCATGGTATCACTTTAAACATATCCATCTAGCTTTTATTCATCACAGGTGTTTCTATTACTCAGAAATACAATAATTCCTTCTGTGAATAGGGGTGATTCTCCACAGATCTGAACTGTAGTGTAGTGTAGTGCTGTAACCTGTTTGTCTCTCATGATAGATAGGTTTAATCTATACTGTGGAACATTCTAGACAAAGCAATAAGATTTCCATGAAGACAAGCAGGTGTCAGACCCTCTGCTACAAATGTTACGCCACATTATTATTATTTTTTTTAATGACACCAATTCGAACAAAAAGTGTCACTGTGT